AGCTTCAGAGTTACAGGGTACACTGTAAGTTGCTTGTTTTGAAATGAAGCACAAATACTGTTCCACAGGCTCATATAAAAATGTTAAAGCCAACTCAGCCTTAAACTAAATTACACTCAGAGAAAGTTGTATCTTACTAATTTTAACCTCATGGACTAGGTGAAATTATGGGCCTTTGAATTCCAGTAACATGAACTCTCTAACTGTCTGACATAAACAAATACCTAGACTTGGTTTTGACTACATTTTCTGGTTCCTCTCTGACAGGTTCCCTATTATACTTACAGGGGATCATATCATCTATATCTATTACCAAATAATGTACATTCTCAAACTCAGAAGGGAGCCTCCAAAATACCTATATCTAAATGTAGAATTTCTCAGCCTGCCTGCAATTGCATGGAGACAGGACATATTCTTCTTTTCCTCTATAACTCTATGCATACCACAGACAGATGATCTGTACTACCATCAGAGTACTCAAAAGAAAACACAAGCAGATCAATATCAGCACTGTAAACTTCAGTTCCTTCCAGCTGAAAGAAGTCAATTATATACTTGAACTACTAAGACACATGAGTCACCCAGACTTGAAAGTTTCTCATTTTAGAGACCATGTCGATGATTGAAGGACAATTAAAATATCTGAAATATGGAGAGGGTTTAACAGAAACAATTTATTCTTCCTCTTTGCTTATAAGCACAGCACAAACATGAATTTCTATCAATAAAAATATTGCAAACTGTAATCTTGTTTACGTTTGTTACAGTGAGATAACACAACACTGCACACATTGCTCTGAAAATAATTTTCATACGAACGAAAAAGATCAGCACAGAGATTTCCTAAGTATGAAGTTTTTTTAATATGGACCTAGGTCACTAACTCATCTTTGTGAAGCAGCAGTCGCATGACAGTTAATTTTTGGTCAGAATCAACAAATATTATTATGGAACTACCTAAAAGTGATTAGTTAGGTAAGGCCTGGGACCAGAGGCCACTGAGCACTGGGGACCATTCACATATATTTGTCTCTGAGACGAGAAGGTGTGGCTTGGTTACAGATCAGGTTTCTGTTAGAGTTGAGTTAACTTCCAGGATGAAGGGTGAACATAAATAAGAGCAAAATATTGGTTCAAGAAGACCACTGCCTCCTTACATATCTTCTACGAGACCTGCAGAAAAAGGCAGCAGAGGCAGTGACAAAGGTTATTGTCATGACTTGCAGATACTACTGACAACGCCTCTGCTCTGAAGAAGAGCTAAGGTAAAGTCTGGCAGTAGCGATTTGGCTACGATGACATTCAAAGCTAGAAGAAATGATAGAGCTGGGGCTGGGATGGCAGTCCAGCCCAGCAAATGTCAGCATAGAATAAAACCTGCTATCAAAGGCTTATGTGGCTTTATTTACATCTGGAATTAGAAGAGACTGCTGGCATAGAATAAAGGAATTAAGGTTTAGGTTTTAAAACCTGGAATTAGGTTTAGGGTTGGGGCTCAGATCAGCAGATATTGATAAACTGCAGCTTAGAAAGCACCTCCAAGTTAACATGAAAAGTGGTGTTAGCTTAAACCATCTGACAGCAGAGATCTGTGAGATAAGGAGTGAGATAATGTTAAGATAAGGAGTGGAATTAGGGTTTGAGCATACTCTGGAAGAGGTTCATAAACTGTATCATCTTGTTTCATTATCAGGGAGGGCCACACACTGTGATAGAGGTGCCACATGACAAGACTTCACACACCCTTAGCAAGCCCAACACCGCCCAGCATGCCAGACCTACTCTGTCTATACCCTCTGTTGACCCACCGCTCCCCAAGCCATACATGTGCTGTCAATTTGATGCATTCCTGACCCCTTGGGATTACTGTATATGTATAATTCTGTACTTGTGTATGTGCACAGCAAACCTGGCACTCCTGAGACATACAGGTTCCCTGTACCGTATGTGCATAGTGTGTACGTATTGCGGATGGAGGCAGGGAAGAGGGCCTCAAACAAGGAAAGCATCTGTCTGAGAACATCCAGTCCTTACTGTCTCTTTTTCTCCCTTCATTTGCACTAGGGCTGCCATATCCAAAACATATCAAAGACTCAAAAAAAGGGTCTGGTAACCAACGTCTCCTCTCTTCATAGATGCAATTTTAAAAACAGTGGATCAAGTCCATGCAGCAGGTTGGTCCTGCCAAGGAAATCAAAAGCCAAATCAGCCAAATATACCAAGAAGCAGCACAAAAGCTTTTCTGTGTCTTCTCCAAACAGAAGCTTTGCCAATGATGATCTTGGCAGTACTATTTGACACTTATCCTTTTCCCAGTTCTTAGGAACAGGTGTCCACCACGTTACTCAGCATTTTCCAGGTTAGGGGCGGATTCAGGATTGACCTTTACTACTTCACATTACAGAAAAACCTGACACATATCTTATCTCCGTGTTTTAATCACAAAATAGGCTCACCTACATTAGTGATTAATGGTGAAAAATTCAGTCTTAGTAGCAGACAGGCTTTGGACACATGACACCTGACACCTTCTGGAGAAGGATGAAACATATAACCACGTGTCAAGGACAAAATGTCCATACTGGAGGCTATGTAGTTAAAAACCTTAAAAATCAATACAAGTAGCACACAGCCCAACTCTACCATTTTCCAAGCTTGCAATTTAGAGAATGCAGGGTAGGCAAGAAAGACAGTTGCTCAATTCAATGAGCAAACCTGCTGCAGCATTCAGTACAAACTGCAGAGGAGAAAGCCTCACAGCGAGCCTTGCCAAGAGGGAATTACAATTATCGAGCCTCATGGTCACAAGACCACACACTACTGTTGTGAAACAGTCACTGGGTAAACAAGGGTGTAGTCTGCAACACAGTTTACCACTTGGGGAGGGGGGAGGAAAAAAAAAAAAAAGAAAAAGCCACACGCTAAACATGGTCTTACCCCTGGAAAGGCATGAAGAAAAAAGGATCTTGCAAATCCCCACTGAAGTCAAAAATGTGGCAGAATGATGCTGCCGTTCTGGTACTGTCAATGCAGTAACGACACAGAGTAGGGAACAAAGGCGAGTCGCAGAGTTAAGCCTGCAGCAAACAATTTAGGCAAAAGCAACAAGAGCAAGAAAAGAGAATTCCAAGGGATGGAGGAGTAAAAGTTAGGATGATGTAGAAATGACAGTTGAACTTCAGTTCACTGAGGTGAAGTCACAAAAGTCATACACTTCCAGAATGATAAAAAATTAATAGCAAAAGATGATAAAAGTTAAAATGTAAGATGCTGATTTTAAAACATACAAATAGGCAGATATCTCAGACTAGAGATACACACTAACAAAGCAGAACCAGAAAGATGCCACTCGGCAGCCTTAACAGTTGAAACCTCACCAAACATTTTCTTAGCTTTTTTGTATTTCAGGGAGGCGTACCAGCCTAACGGAAGGAGTTCAGAGAAGTTTTCCAAACTTTTCTTGTTTGCAGAAATCAAGTAAAGAACTTGCAAAATAATCACTTCTACAAGCCACTGCCCTCAGTTCTGCCTCTGCACTAAGCAAAACTTCCTCTAATGATCCAACTTTGACTGTTCCAGTAATTCATGGCATTTTTGCCAAACTGGGAGAAAAGAGGATATATTTCATCTGTCCTCTACGTAACATGGTGCTGTTTGGAGCAGCTCCCACAGGGGCTTAGCAGGGTGCTGCCGGCCACTTCTAGAGAAGACAACTGGACGACAGGGAGCAGCAGAGCAAGGAGAGAGCAGAGCAACCTTCGCTCCTGCCTGTAGCGAGGGCACCGACACTCAGCTCGGCTGGGAGTGGCAAGGGCTTGAAGGGGAGACTACTTCAAGTAGTATGCAGTAGTATGCAGCCTGGACCTCCCCATCACAGGGGAGTCATAGGCCATTTCATTCATTTCTCCTTCTGACCGCTGCTTCTCTGAGGGAGGGGTGAAAAAACGAAGGCATTAAGCATTTAGCGTTATTCCTGATGCAAGGAGGATGCAAAAGCATCTCAAACAAAAGCTACTCCCAGTCTCCTACAAGCTTCCTTCTTCACTGTCAACCCATCAGGAGTGGTGGGCTTTAGCGGGGTCTTGTTTCTGCGTGCTAATGCGTCCTGACGTGCTACCCGAGACAATCTTCCAGCTTCCACCACTACACTCGTATCAATTCCTGTGGCACGCTAAGCTTCTGGTCTTCAGATACGACTTGCATTTACAAAGAAGCAATATGCAGGGTTCAACCCCCTGGTACAAGTCAATATATCGTTTTCTAACCTGTATTAAACTCTCAGATTATTTATGAGGTAAATCAATTACACAGATTTTGTCCAAATCCACACTTCGTCTGTACTAAGAGCTCATTGGGCTCTAAAATTTGTACTGAAGACTATTCTACAGAAAATAGATGGCTAATATTCTCATACGATTGTTCACAGTAGCCCAGATAACATTAAAGAACCTGTTGCAATTAAAATCCATAAGGTGTATTTCCAAAACTCACAACTCGGGTCAAGAACCACAACCATAATGATGGTCAATGAAATACTGTATCCTGACTCATTTCATTCAAACAAGCTACTCTTACAAAAGCACTCCTCTGCTTCAGTAGAGGAGGGTGGCAAACGAAGAAACTGATAAGGAATAATTAAACTAACATTGCACTAATGAAAAGGTGAATTAATTGAAACAGCCCATGAAGCATCCGAGTGCACACAAAGTAATTCAACAGATGTTACACTGGAAAGCTGACTATCCAGTGCATGGATGAAATCAGAAAGTGCTACTAATGGCACATCCAACAATAAAGTTGATCATGAATTTTCTGCTACTTACAGTCAAACATGAAAAACTACTGCACGTCATTTTTGCAAGCAAACCTTACAGAATGACCACGGAAATCAGAAAATGACATAGCCAGTATCACATTGGACAATAACATGGAAAACAGAGTTGATTTTCTCATTGATAAAACCAGTGAAATATCATATAAACTGCCCATTACTGTACCTTCATGACATCTTTATAGGAATGAATGGTCTCAACTTCCTCTTTGTCATCATCATTGTCATCCTCCACTCCTTCATCCAGAGCATCATATCCTTCATCCCTACTCCCATCTGTTTCTGTGGTATTAGTCATACAGTCAATAAGCTGCTCCAGTGGAGGACTTAATTCTCGCTCTTCATTGTCCTTCAAACCATAGTCCAGGGCTTTATATATAATAATCCCTAGGGATTCAATAACCTATAAAAGTGAAAAAGAAATATTTATTAATGCCATTTACATGAATGAATAGGTCAGGCTAGGAACACCCTTTTATGGTCTTTATAGAACAAACTTAGCAACTGAGAGGGCAATAAAGATCAAAATTAAAGAGAAAAATGATCATCTAATACCTACAGTAGTACTTCAGTAATACAGCATAGAACATGCCAGAGCGAGTCATACCACATACCTACTGCTTATTTCAAAGTTTGAAATAAAATTTGTATTTTAAAAACAAAGCAGGACCTTTTTAGATTATTTTATCTTTTTAATATGACAAATCTCAAGTAACATTACTCTAGACTTTGTAAGACTGTACTACATGCATACGACCTTTTTTGGGGAGGCGGGTGGGAAGAAATTAAAAGAAAGAATAAACTAATATGAGATGCCTCCCTCCTCCCACAAAGTAATGACACTTGGAAACTGCCCTTCAGTTTCTGCATCTCTTCACTGACCTGATGGGTGCCTGGACACAGCTGCGGACATCCCAATACTAACTCACTGAGCACTGGGGCATCAGCCCACAAGAACTCCTTTGCCTGTTACACAGCTGGTGGAGGCACACATATTTCGCTGAAACTATCAACAACTGAATTTCATAGTAACAAGGTAGTACGTCGATTTTTCGTTGAACTCGAGGCTTCCTTTTTGTGCTCTGTCAAGAGCAAAGCAAACAGACAACCTCTTACTCAGTATAAACTAGCAAAAAAATTGTCATGAACATCCCAAAATACTAAATGCACGTTTTCCTTCTTGGCATTATTTATTTTCCTTATGAGTAATAGTGAAGCTTTTAGCATTTTAAAGATGTAAAAAGATGGCATTTCAAACCAAGTAGTTTGGAAATGGGTATTAATGGAGTGGGAAGGTAAAATGGGCTTGCAAGAGTAAACCACAAGAAGGTAATGTCGCTGCTGGGAGATCCTTGTCTGACAACAGAAGTAGGACTTGAGTTATTGCATGTAATCTCTGATCTTCCTTGAGTGTTGTGATGGCTAGCATGTCACACAAATGAGCAGACTCCCATGTGGGAGTAGTTGGCACTAGAGCAACTTTAATAACAGAGGCATTTCTAAACATGCCAAACCTTGTCATCAAATGCCATTTTCTCTCATCCGGCTTTCAGTACTATCCTGGTCAACATACTTTTTAATGCAGATTTTTGAAATTCTATTCAAATGGGTTCTTAAAACATTAAATTTGACTCTAGCAGCTTACTTATTTAAGCACAGCAAAGTATTTTTGGTCTGAGAGGCTGGAGGTTAGCAAAGACCTAAAATGATATCGTATTAGATTATCTAGACACACAATTTAATGAACTAGCTGTAGTCTGACAGCTTTACACTTCATGCTCCATTCCTCTGTTGAGATGACTTTGCAGTGCAAATTCACTTTGCAAGACAGTGGCTAATAATAATAATAAAAAACCTTAAAAGCAATACATAAACCCCACCCTTTTATAATTTATTTCCAATAATTTTGGTAACTCGATTCAATATAAATTTTCCTATGCTATTATCTTGAAATGTGTTTATACATTTGGAAAATACTCTTAAAATGCAGTTAAGAAAAGTGATTAGGCAAATTGTCTTAATTTATTTAGTTCAAAGAACGGCTTCTAACTTAGGAAATGCTAGCAAAGTATACCAAGGAAGCATCACTGCATGCTTGCTCAGTTCTCATACCTTTCCCCAGACTTCTGCCACGACCCACTTTGGAGACAGGACAGTACACCATATAGACCTTAAAAATAGCTGTGACAGATCAAACGTACATTTGCAGCATATCTGATTTGCCTCTTAGAGAAGCTATTTTGTAATAATTGCCCTGTAAAACTTGTACTGTTACAAAAAATTAATCTGAAAATGTGAAAACTTCACAAAATAAAATACATTCTACTGGTAGATATGTATGTTTCCTGTAACTCAGGTTCTGAGTACAACCTCAACGTGTATCTTTTCAGCAACTGAAAGGGAACAAAGAATACCAAGGTAATTCCAATTTGAAGTAAAGCTAAATTAAAATGAAGTACAACTGAATAATTGCTTTGATATTTCAAACACTTGGGAGTAAACAATGTGAGTAATTTCTAACTTTAATAAAAACTAAATTTGAAAGAGCTTAGCATACATGAGGAGGACTGAAACATCCCAATCAGATGCAAAGAAAATAATGTCTTGTGCCATGCAGTGATGGCTGCTGAAGACAGCTTTTGGATTTTGCTACATCAACACTTAAAAAAAATACAAAGGAGGGGGGATATAAAGAAAGTGCACTCTCTCTGCCTCCTTCTGTTTGGGAAGAGGATTAAGGCATTCAAAAGCACCGTGGCTAAAACTGGATGACAGCTGCTGCTTTCTTTGATGTATCAGCAGTGGGGCTTTTGCAGTTCAGTAATACAGTTTGTGCATTTTTACGTACAGATTTCATAATACATGCAAAGCTGACAACACGAAAGCCTGCAATGGCACCATTTCAGACCTATATTTCAGTCTCTTAGCACCTTATTTAGGAGTCATGATCAAAACCACATTTATTTAGTGTCTGTCAGTATCATAGATTCTTCTTGCTGAAAGACAAAGCAGCAAACATCCTAACTGAGAAACACTGCTTTGACTTGCATTAAAACTGAAAACATTCAGCACTTTCAGCAATACTGGTCTACCAAGGATCTTGTAAAACCACACAAGTGCCATATGAATATCAAACAAAAGTCGCAGAATCGTCAACGCTTCTTCACAGGGACAGAACTAATAATGCCACTTCACGCAAATAAAACTTCTGTCTATATAATTAGAAACATAATATACAAGGTTAGACAGACAGCTCGTTGTTGCTTAAACGCATGAGTGCTGTCACTTTGCCTGTAATACAAATCAAATATAAACAAAAAACGAAAAGCTTTTCACAGCTGAATGGATGAATTGACAAATACGCAGGGTTTTTTAGTTGGATAATCAGACCCTATCACTTTTTTTTTTTTAAGTATCAATTATTTACAAAGAAGTCACTGGTTCTAAATGGCACTGTTTGCTGATTTCACACAAAATAAATAATTCTGGCATCTAACAAGTGACAAGCACTGGCACAGTTTTCAATTATAACTGTGAAAGCAGAAGTATAGTAGGAAAAACAAGGCTAAAAAGGGACTTAGCAAGGCTCTTGTAAACCAGAGTTGTACCTTGACACACCAAAACAATTGTATGACACTGAAATAAGTGCCAGCACTAATGATAAATGATGCTGCTCAATTCCGATGAAAATCAAATATATTAAGTTTTACACCTTGAATTTTAGAATTCATTTGGTTTTGATTGATTTAAATTTTGGCAAAGGACTTGATATTTACAAATCAATCAGTGGCTAAGTAACTTAAAAAATAAACAAGGAAGTCTGTGTTATTATACTTTACACCTCCTCACCACGTTCTCTTGAAAGTCATGGCTTCAGAACAAAAAAAAAAACACAAACCACCAATGTTTCCCACAGACTGAACTTGTACTCTGTTGTGCTTAAATCATTAGTGAAAGGGGAATTTTGTCTCACCGTGAGTATTCTTTCAGTTCCTACACCAGTCTGGACTTGTATTATACTGTTCTTTTATAACAAGTTGTGATAAAGTTGCTGGAATGCTTTGACTTCAAACACGATGCAAAAACAGTATCCTCATGCTGCCTTCACACACGCAGCAAAAACAAAGCCCAAAGCATTCAGGTTATTTTCGTACATAAACACTGTATGGAACTTTTCATTCTGTGTACCTTCCTCCTACATATTAAGGCATGCCTCTTGGAAGGGGATGCATTAGCATTAGGTCTTTTATACGACACAAATGATGTTCTCCCAATGAATACTGTCAATTTAACATTCTGAAAAACTCTTCAAATATACAGCCCATGTATAGGAACCAAACATGTTGGTTCCTTGCGAAAGTCTGGAGTGAAATTATGGAGAGTACTTCACTTTTTTTTTTTTTTTAATTTCAGAGAAGAATCCTTTTTTCCCCTCACCACACATATACCTTTCTGACTCTTGCTCAAGTGTAGATGAGAACAGGCAGAATCCGCATGCCGTTCCCCCTACTCCCCACACACACAAAAGGGCACTGTCTGAGCTTTCATCCCCTTCCTAGGCTTGCCTCAATTTTTAAACAAAGCAACAAAGCCTAAGGACAGGCTCGTACTTACAGCAGCAAAGGGCTTTTTTTTTTCAGCTCAGATGCTGTCCCCTCCCTAAAGTTCCCTTCCTCCAAAAGCCACTCAGGTTTTGTATCCCTAAATTGGGATTAAAGACGCCATAAAGCTCCAGCTCCTAAGGTGATTCAACTAACTTCTAACTTTCCCACAGGGACCTCAGATACGGCAACCAGTCACAACAATATTTGCATTACTACTGCGTTGCCTTTTATGAATTCTAATAATTTTCTTACTAAAAATGTATACTACAATTATTATTTTTAAGTGTGTCCATTTCTTACAAGCAGATCTCCAACACACTTCATGAAGGAGAATCATTCTGCCTTACGGTAAGAGTGTCAAGAGCCTGGAGCTGGCATTAGCCACGGCACTCCTTAGGGCAGAGCTCCTCTCCGCCACCAACTCTGCCACCACTCCTGGTATTAGGCAGCACTTAGTCAACCTGCAGAGACTAACCTGTCCTGCTGCTGACTTTAAATTAGCCTGCCAGGAGCTTCACGCTGTGCTTCTGGAATCATAACACACAGCATTAGCATATCCACAGACACCTTGAAGTCAAGAGTCACGTTTCTTAAAATTTACTATGGTGCGTTAGGAGAAGACACACAAACACACACAAGTTTTTCTGATAAAACACTGTACTACAGTCTAACAGAAAGGCATGTTAAAACTTTATGTAAACCCAACAGTTCCTCTCCAGCTACAGGACAGAGGGAGTAAGCTACTGCTCTGGTTATCATTTTCATTTGTAACACAGTAATTTGTTGTTTCTTCAGTATC